ATTATAAAAAACATACTAGAGCCAAACCAGAAAAGACTTTTAAATTCAAAAACAAAGAAGCTTTTCAAGATTCTATGAATGATCTTATTCAGAAATTCGAAAAGATACATTTGAAACTTGCAGTTCAAATTGAAGATATTTTTGCCAGAGTTAAAAGAAAGACCAATCCATATTACAAGCCTGATACTTCTAAGTCACTATTAGCATACATACTATAAAGAGATACAAAAACTTGTTTTAAGTGTAGCCAAGTAGAACATATTGCCTATGATTGTTTATCTGAAAGATCTATATCCTCCTAACAATATTATTAACAAAATCAATATGTCAATAAAAACAAATGTGTAAACTATCTTATAATTAAAGATATCTCTAATAAAGAAGTATTTAGTGAAGAAGAAGAACTTGAATATGTAGGACAGAAAGTCAGACCACAATCCTATACTACAAATGAAAAGAATAAAAAGAAAAAGTCAAACAATTAGAATCTGTAAAAGAATTTAACCTGTGATCAAAGAAGAATACCACTTAACTGATAAAGATAGAAAACCCATTTGTCCATTACCAACCTCCTTCAGTACAACCTACTTCATCCAAGACAAAGAAGCCAAAAATAAAATTCCAACTATCTGTAGTTAATAAGCTTACACCATATGATGTTTTTAAAGATATCCTTAAATTGTAATTAAGTGCCACTGTGGGACAAATACTCCAATATTCCAACCAACAAAAAATCTTGTCAAGATTCTCAGGAGACTAAAAAAAACAGTCAAAACCAACTATCTTCAATCATAAAATGACTCAAGAAAGACTTTATCAGCTAAATACTATATTAGAATCAAAGAAAATCCTGTGATTACTATTCTTAATTCAGAAGCTGCTGTTAGTATAATCATAAACAAACTGATGCATAAGTTAAAATTGAATTCAAATACTTCATTCAAAACTATTGTGGTCACTGCTAATGGAAACAGAGTTTGTGTATTGGGTCAGATTACTAAAGTTCAAATTTGTATTCAAGATTTGATCATTCTGATCAAGCTTTAAATCATTGAGTCACAAGAAGAAGCTTTTCTTTTAGGAAATAATTGGTTTCAAAAGATGAGAGCCAAGTGGAATTTTGATTTCCAAATCTTACAAATTCAATGTCAGGACAAAACTGTCAAAATTTCAACTACTCATTTTATTGATGAAACACCTCAGTACATTACAAATTCTGAAAATAGTAATGATAAACTTGAAGAAATTGAGTACAATGATGAAGATTTAGAAGAACAAGAAATCTACTACTCTAATCATGCTAAAAGAAATGAAAAACTTGAAGAAAATAAAGAACTTGAAGCACAAATCAAAGAAAATCCAGCAATATATCTTTTTGATTATGTAATTAATTAAAAAGCAACATCTAAAAATAATTTAATAACTGATGAACAACAAAAAATATTTGATCAAATATAAAAGAAAAAGAAAATATGTTTGTAGAACATATTTCCAAAAAAGGCCAAACTCAAGATCTAGAAAGAACCACTGTGATTATACATTTCATTAATACAGGAAATACAAAACTCATCAAGCAATATATATATAGAACATTATCAGATCAACAAGACTTCATTAAGAGTGAAATTGGTGAAATGTTAAAAAAAGAAATAATCAGTCCTATCTGTAGCCCTTGGGCATCTCCAGTTGTAATTATATCAAAGAAAAATGGCAAGAAACAATTTTGTGTTGATTTCTGAAAATCAAATAAAGTTATAGAAAATGATATCTACCCTCTTCCAGTAACTGATAACCTTCTAGATTTCTTCCAAGGCATCAAATAGTTTACTTGTCTTGATTTAGCAAGTGGATATTGGCAAGTAGCCATGAGTGATAAAGATAAAAAAAAGATTGCTTTTATTATGAAACATGAACTCTATAAGTTCAATATTATATCTTTAGGATTGTGTAATACTCCTACTACTTATTAATATCTCATGATAAACTTTTTGAACCCTACAAAGGAAATTTTGTGAAAGTATATTTGAATAACATTATTATCTTCTTCAAAACATTTCAAGACTACTGTAATTATGTAAACATTATCCTTGATGTTTTTTGTCAAGAAAACTTGAAATTGAATATGGAAAAGTACCATTTCTTTCTTGCCAGTATAAAACTCTTAGAACATAAAATCAGTCATGATGGAATCATGCCAGATGATGATGAAATCATTAAAGTTAGAGACTTCACAAAATCAACAAATGTTAAACAACTCAGAGAATTCTTAGGATTAGCATCACATTACTGAAGATTTATTGCTAACTTTTCAACTATTGCCAAATAATTAAATGAATATTTAGAAAAACAAGTACTCATTGAATGGATTGAAACACAAGAAAATATATTTCAAATGCTAAAATGATACTTAATCTCTGCACCAATTTTGAGATATTCTGATTTCAATCAACTATTTTATCTTCATACTGATGCTTCTGATACTGGATTAGGAGCAGTACTTGCTCAATGAGAAGGAAAACAAGAACATGCCATCACATATGTTAGCAGAAGTTTAACCAAACCTGAACAAAACTACTCTATCACTGAACAAAAATGTCTAGCAATTATCTGGACTGTTTAACACTTCTATCAATATTTGGGAACTAATCATTTTTATCTGGGAACTAACCACTTTGCCCTTTAATAATTAAAGATATCTGAACTTAAAGAAAGAAGATCCAGATGGATCCTATATCTGGAACCTTACAACTATACTATTATTTATAGAGCAGAAAGAAAGCACAACAATGTTGATGCCATGTTATGCATGTATGAAACAGAAAAACCTATCTATATGTTTTAAGAAGAAGATAATAATTGAAACTCTGATTATAGTTTTGCAACTGTCAATTCTGTTCACTAGTCCAAATTGGGTTATTCGGCTGCTGAATTACAGCCGATTAAATCCAAATTTATTAATAAAAGTTTATACAGAAGTTTTGTTGTTTGGTCCAATTTATGCCACTCAGCACTTAAAAAAAACACAATAATTTGGCAAAAAAAAATATAACATTTGGCAAAAAATAAGT